TCCTAGGAGGCTATAGGATTAGAGTCCCTTGCGTTGGTGACTGGCCGTGGCAGCCCATCGAGGGGGAGGTGTGTGTGCATGAGCATTACCTCCACTTCGGCCTTCTTTTTCCCTTGTCTCCCCTCATCCCAGAAATCCTTAGCTACTATAATATTTCCCTCAACCAACTTGCTCCGATCACCATTAGGACCATAGCAGCCATGTTGGTGATGGCTTGCCTCTGAGATGTGTCTGTGACCCTGAATATATTCTAGGGTCTATTTGCATTGAAGAAGCATCCTGATAGCGAAGGTTTGTGGTACTTACAAGGCCGACGGGTAGGGTAGTGGGCAACCCGTCGTCCGCCCATAATTGGAAGAAAAAGTTTTTCTTCATTAGTTGATCACAAGGATGGTCCTTCCTGTTTGACTGGGGAGCTCCAGACTCGTTGGCCGAGAGGATCAGGCTGTATAGTAGCGAGGAGGAGTCAACCATGGCGAATCGAATTTGGCTAACTGAGACGATTCATGCCAGACCCTTTATACTAGGCTTGCAAGCCTCAAGATCCGAGCTTCACTTGGCTCGAGCTCGGCTCGATTAGCGAACGAGACTATGCATCAGGCTCAAAACTGAGCTGAGCCGAGCTCGTATAAAGTTTTTTTAGGTGGTTTTTTCGAGCTCCAATAGTATAAAAGGAGAGTCACAAATCAATTTTTTTTTGTTTTATTTTTTTGTGTGGTTGTTTCAAGTTCCAATAGCATAAAAGGAGAATCACATATTAGAACTAGTAGAGCCGCATATGGTGTATGGGAAAATTAGATAACTTGGAAAATGTTTTCTCCATGGGGTTACACAAACTTTGACATAGGATGTTAAACTAAACAATAAAAAAATCTATTTATAATTTATTGTTGTTTGTACAACAGAAAATAAAAAACAGAAAGAAAATTTTGAATATCTTAAAAATCCTTAGTACAAATATTGATATAAATAGATTACTTTTCAAAAATTTATGAATTGATGTGAATAAAATTTTCAAAATTTATTGATATGAATAAATTAATTTCCAAAAATTTAATTATTAATTTTTTACTTTTATTATTTGTCTTATTCTTATAATTCTTTTAGACATTTTTTTTACTCATCTTATTAGTATTTTAGATAGAGATGAGAGATAAGGGTTTGGAAAAAGGTGTTAGAATCATCTAGGTTGTTTATTGTGAGATAGGTTAGGAGATGTTTTAGGTGGGGGAGATAGTTTAGGAGAACTTTTAGGAGAGGAGATGATTTAGTTGATTGAGAACGTGTGGGTGTTTGTGTGGGTGAAAGAGAGATTTTAAGAATAAGATCAGTGAATTATTTCCTATGTTGTTTTCTTATTGGTTTAATGGGCAATTACATAGAATTAAAAAAATAAAAAAATAACAAAACATGAAAATTAGGAAGATGGTTTTGGAGCAAGGAGAGGCCCTCTCTGAACTACATTGCTTTTGTATATAGAATAGAAGGCATAATATCTGATTACATAAAAGTAAAATTGACTAGTGTCCTAACAAAATTTTGTGAAATGAGGATTATCTAATAACCAGGAAAAGAGAATTAGTCACTAGTTTATGCAAACCACCAAGAATTATTCAAATAGATGATAGTTAAAATCATTAGTAGTTGGTGTAGATTAATCAAAATGATGAGAGTCATTTAGAGATGTTGAAAAGAGTCGTTTAATAATACTAGTAAGTGTGCATATGCTATGCACGCGGCAATTCTAGATGATGATAATGATAGTAATAATGTATCAAAAAAACTTATAAATGTGTATTATTTTTATTTTTATTTTGTTTTCATTATTAATCGGATGCAAATTACAAAATCCAAATATGGTTGCATAAACACCTCATCCAAATATGTGATAATCGGATCAAGTTGTGAAGTTTCAAGTATCACTGATAGGCCTACCTATTTGGCTAGATTATCTTTTAGTAATGTTTTATCTTTTTGATGTATCTGCTTTTGTTCATTTGTAAAAAAAAATGTAAGGTTTAAATAGAGGGAATTAAATGAGGTAAAAAGTAGTAGTTTCAATTTAGAATTTAAACCTCATAATTAAATAAAGACTAAATTAAAATGAGTATTTTAGTCAAAAGAAAGTTTCACAATACTCATATTTTAATAGTAGTGTAAATATATAAGTACATATGTGTTAAATTTGTTGTATATTTTTTTTTTTTTGCATTTCTATATGTAAAAATAATTCTTATTTGCCACACTTACTTTTTGTTTAATATGTGCCTAAATGTTTTATTTTTTTTTTGCAAAGTTTATGCATTTTTTTCATTTTTGTTTTTTATATTTTATTAAATTTTATTATTTATTTATGACATTAAATGTTAACACAATTGACTCAAAAGTTGAACTATTAATCTTTGCTAAACAATAAAATAATTTATTTTTTTGTTAGTTCTAAATTGTGTATTTTATTTTCATTTTCAATAAAAAGAATTATTATTTATTACACTTATTTATTTTTATTTGATTAATAAAAATATCATAAATTTGTCTAATCTTTTCTACATTTTTGTAATTTTCTATTTTTATTTTTATATTAAAAATTCTATTACCTAACTATGACTTCATAGGTTAAATTTGATTTGGATGGTTGAACTGCTTAGCCACCACTTGGATAAAGATGGTTTTTGTTTTTGAGTTGGTTTTAAAATTCATGAGTTTATATTGTTAAAAAGTAACATTTATTAGTGAAAATAACTTAAATATATGATTTAATAGGAGAAAATTGGAGTGAATACCTTTAAGTATAAGACTTAATGAGAGGGGATTAAATGAGGTGGAAAGTAATAATTGAATTTACATTTTATGGACTAATTAAATAGACAAATATGAGCATTTTAGTCCATGTTTGGTTCAGTTCTCATTCTTTGTCATTCTTACCCAAGATGAAATTCTGAAATGGACAAGAATAGGTAAAAATAGGTAGAATGAGAAAATATTGTTATGAACCAAACACTTTTTTCTCAAAATGAATTCTTTTTAGAATAACAAGTGTCCTATGTTGCTTATTTTCATTCTTAAAAAAAAAGTGTCGGTATTCATAAACCGCCAGCCTAGGTCCCTAACAGTTAACGTTTACGCATAGATGTTTTGTAAAAGTACTTCCATAAAAATGCTTTAATGTAAATGTACTTTCATAAAAGTGCTTTTATAAAAGTGTTTTCATAAAAATACTTTACTTTCACAAAAGTACTTTTCATAAATTACTTTTATAAAAGTGTTTTCGTTAAAAGCACTTTTGTAAAAGTGCTTTTGCAAAAATAAACATTTATGGCAACAATTTTGTAGGCAGAGTTTCCTCAAAGAATGAAAATGAGCAAGATGGGGCATGCTTATTTTTCATGTTGCAGGTTGTTCAGTTTTTTGTGCTATAGGGCTGATTTTTCATTCTAAAAAGAATGTGGCCTATGGCAAAAATTTTGTAACCAAACACTAATGTTTTTCATTCTTGCCCATTCTTGCCTAAAATCAGAAAGAATTAAAAGAATGAGGCATAGAGCATTGAACCAAACATAGCCTTATTAGCCATTAAAGCTGGCATTAAAGAAGAAATAAAATAAATTTTATACCATTTTTCAAATGAAACAATAAAGAGTAATTTTAGTTCAAGAAAAACTTATATTCTGAATCCACACTTTTATATATAATATAAGTAACTTAATATAATCATCTAGAAGCCCCTTTTTTTGATTGGTAAATATGATAATCTGACTCACCCCGCCTTAGCTGGGTGTTTTCTTTTTTTTTTTTTTTTTTAATGTTGATTGGGTACAAGGAAACTTGAAATTCTAGTGAATGGCAATTCAATGGGGCGAGAGTGGTATTTGTCCACTTCGCCCCAGATAGATATTCTTAATATAAGGCAATAGATTTGATGATGATGGTCAACTTTGAAAGTCTAAGAAAAATGAGTTAGCAGAGGTGAGAAGTGATTAGACCCCGAATGCGTTACACTAAACACCCCTGGAGTAGACCTGTTCATGGGCCGGGCCGGGCCGGGCCAGACTTTTACTCTGTATTAACAGAATTTTCTAAGGCCCGAGCCCGAGCCCGACTCGACCATCGGGCCTATAACTTGGGCCCGAGCCCGACCCTCATAAAAAGTCGAGGAGGATTGCAATTTTATAGTTTTCTTGGAACTTCTATGTTTTACTTATTTTCGGAGTTGTGATTTGAGAATAGTCTAGTATCCTGGACGAATGTCATGTCAGCATAGATTATTATGAAGGTCTGGGTTGGGTTATGATATGTCATTCCTTATCCACATACTTTTAATTAGCAATTCTGTGTTGTTAAGAATTTCTGAAAGCTGTTGATGAAGACGTGCTGGTTTGGCACCCGTAAGTAGGTGTTTAGCATCGGTGCTGAGAATATAGCACCACGGTGTTGGGCATATCTGAATTGTAAGTACCGTTTGAAAAAATAACATTGGTTTTATTTAGTATTATTATTATAGAATCATTTTCAACATTGGTCATATTATTTAACATCCAAGATTATACTACATTATTGTATCATTGGCAGAAAACATTGAATCTGACATTTTTTTATATTATACTTTTTCAATTTCCAGAAGCAACATTTTCAAACACCGCCGGTCTATTTGACCTGTTTCACATGGGGCTCTGGACTTTGATATTTTGCATGTTCATGCTCTTAGAAGTGGGTCTTTGATGCAAATGAAAGTTGAGGAAGGGAACTTGCAAAGTGTCACTAACCCAAAATACAGAGTGGCAATGTCTAATTTACCCTATTATATGAAATTTAGGCAAATCAATAAATCATTCAGTTCAGTTCAGCCACTCTGGCTGTTATCACACTGTCTTATCTGTTGCCCACGCCACCCATCTATCTTCGTAGAGACGACTGTTGGTGCTAGTGTCACGTGCGGTGAAGCTAGCAAAACCTTAAAATGAGCTTTAATTACAAGCGCTCTAATCCAGAAGGCTATTACTTTGACCACCCATTTTAAACGCTTACCTGTTTCTGTTCTCGTTTCACTCCTGTTCAAACAACAGAGAATGACGAAAAACTGTGGAAAATTCACGGTTCCTGTCGAGGAGTTTGTTTTCGCTTAGATGGAAGCACGACGGCTTGCGGTTCTCTGTTCCCATCTTCGCCAGATTGATCCGGGACCTTCTAGCTTACCTGAACGGCCAAAATTGAACACTTTATCAGGTTTGTCGACTTCCAATTGCTCTACCAATGCGGATGATCAGCACAGAAGTGATTCTGCGAAGAAGAATGAAGAAAAGCATTGTATTTTCTGTAAGATTATTCGAGGTGAATCCCCTGCATTCAAGGTATTTTCATTGAAGTTTGAGTTTAACTTTTCTTTGTCTCTCTTTTTATATTGCATTGATTGCCTTGCTTTTTTTGGCGGGGTGGGGGTGGGGTGCTTTATTTCCAATTTTGGGATGTTGACGGGTGAAAAGCGAAAATTCTTTGTTGGGTTCTTTTGCTATTTTGGTTATCTTTGTTGGGTCTTATATGTTTTTCACCACCAAAATTGGATTCTATTGTTTTATCAGGTCATTTGTTTGATACTTCGATATTCTGATTTATGAACTTCAATCCATTTTATTAATTTTCCTTTCTTGATTTAACTACTTTATGAGAGATTCCAGTATTTGTGGCAAAGCTAATATGCATTGTTAGAAGTACAGACCTTGAATTCATAGTCTCAACATCGTTATTTACGTTGAGAAAATTAAGACTTCTGAAATGAACCTACATACTGAAGGCTTGAGTAGCTTCCTAATGCCATGGTCCATGATGTTAGTTAATACAACAAGCCATTGAATTTGCATAAGACAAGCGGAGGTTTTAGGCTGAAGATTCTACGATCCAGATGAGCATCTGTGGGCATCTTTGCATCAACTTCATTACTCTCATCGATAAAAAAATATAATTAGAAATTATCCCATTGGACCATGCCAGAGTGTGGTCTCTTTTTAACAATTTGCTGCCCAGATGGAATTCTTAGATTTAATATAAGCGTTTCTAAGTTAAGGATGGGACCTTCTTATATTGTGTATGTACAGAGACTACGTGCACACATTTTCTGAGTGGATTTTGCAAAATCAGAAAACAGTGTTCATTGAAGAGGCACTGCAGTAAATTTTTTTCCTTTGATCAGCAAATAAACATTTATTAATTCATTGTTTACTGATTAAAGTACACGAGTTTAAAGTTTTAGCATTGTAGTGACCTAGGTTACAACAGATTACAGTTTTGCCCAAAATAAATGAACTGATTTGGTTTCCCCAAGATATGACCAGGAGTGAATCTCCTTCAATTTCCAGTTCTGTTGCTCCAATCTGCTCAGCCAGTTTCAAACCTTGTAGGAGAGCTAGAGTTTCAGCCTGAATTGAGTCACCAAGGCCGATTGGTCCTGGGAATAGTGCCACTACTACTCCTTGATGATTTCTAAACGCTCTCGCTATACAGTTATACCTGCTCTCCTTGGGTTACCAAAGGAACTCCCATCAAAGCTCAGTTTTAGTTTATTTGGTGTAGGTGGTTTCCAATCCATTCTCACACTTTTTCTATGTAAAATCTGTTTGTATCACTTCAGTCTAGTTCCTTAGAATGTCATTTATAGAGACATTCCTGAAGAATTCCATAATTTTAACCCAATGTGTAGATCTGATTTTTATAGCTTCAATCACTTCCTCCTTTGACTTTTTTTTTTTTTTGATTGGAAACAGTAACTTTCATTAATTCTTTAAGAAACTTAGCACAAATGTCACCTTCAAAAAACAAGGTGACCCCTCCACAGATTACAAACAGGCCCAAAAAAGGTTCTACCTACTAACTCCTTGCTTTGCTAAAGTATCAGCCATTGCATTGGCTGATCTCCTACTCCATTTAAACCTGACTTCAAGCTCCCTTGTTAGTTGCATAATCTCCCTTACAGGTTGTCTAAGGGACTAGGCGCCTAAGCTGTTTGTTTGCATCCAACCTATTACCAGTTTTGAGTCTCTCTCCACTTCCAACTGCTGAAAACTCAGCTGTTTAGCCGGCTTGAGCCCTTGTAGGAGTGCCAAAACTTCTGCCCTAAGAGAGTCCCCCAGTCCTATCGGGCCAGAATAAAGGGCCATGACATTTCCTCCTCCATCTCTAAAGACACTCCCAATTCCAGAGGGGCCTGGATTACCTATAGAACTGCCATCAGAGTTTAACTTAACATCCAAAGATAACGGGGGTGACCAGTCCTCTTGAATAGCTAAAGAGGGGCAGGAAGAAGCTGCTACCTCACTTCACCCTCTAATTAAGTCATCTACAGAGAAGTCCTTGAACAGATCCAGCGATTTCAGCCAATGTATGATCTTGATGGTGATCCCTTCTATGACTTCATGTGCTGATTTTTCTTTCCCTTGAAAGATTCTGTTATTTCTCTC